GTTGAGGAATTGGCATTGGTTCTCAGTTAAAACCATACAACTGTTCATCGTCATCTTCAACAACTTGGAAAAGTTCCTAAACTTGGAAAAATGGGTGCCTCATGAATTGTCTGAAAACAACCTCAAATCCTGAGTTGACATCTGCTCTTCTCTCCATTCTCGCCAACTTGTTTCACCTTTTTGGATAGACTTTTGACTGGCGACGAAAAATGGATCTTTTATCGAAATGTTAAGCGTCGTAGACAGTGGCTTGGTAAAGGGAAGGACCCCAGCCACAGCCGAGAAGGGAACTTCATGGGGAAAAGATTCTTCTTTCAATCTGGTGGGATCGCCAAGGAATAATCCACTTTGAATTCTTACCACCTACACAACAACAATTAATGCTCAAATATACTGTCAGCAATTAGAGCGTTTGAACCAAGCTTTGAGGGAAAAAAAGACCTGCTCTAGTGAATCGAAAAGAGGTGATGTTTCATCAGGACAATAATTCCCCCCACACAGCAAGAATCAAGTCACAAAAGATCGAAGAACTTGGTTGGGAGAAAATTTCATTCATCTTATTCTCCCGATCTTGCTCCTTCAGACTACCATTTGTTTCGTAGCTTACAGAATCATTTGGAAGAAATAGCTTTTGTAACACAGGAAGGGGTTAAAACAGACATTTGTGAGTTCTTTGAATCAAAGCCAAAAGATTTTTACAGTAATGGAATTAGTAAGCTTGTTAATAGATGGAAGGAAGTCATAGATAATCAGGGAAAATACATTGTTGATTGAATCTGTAATTAATGTTTTCCTTATTCAATATTCGGACAGAACTTATGGGATGACCTGATGTTTTTGATATATATATTGAAGAAAAGTACGTAACTGCAGAATTCATAAATAAATTGAATTTAAAATGATGGAAGTCCCAGGCAAAAGAATGCGGGCCTTGTCGCAGGAAATGGGTGTTGCAATGTCCACCAGGAATCTGGCTTTGAACGAGGACCTCCGCCATCAATCATACAAGAAATGTCAAAGGTCAACTTCTGACAGAAATGTCTCGACAAATGCGTCTGACGAAAGAAAAGAAAATACCTGAAGAAGGTGAAAAATTCTCTTGAAACATTGACAATAGGGCTCTTTGATTTTAACGGATCACCCATTGAAAATTAAATTGTTGTGAGGTTTATTAAGGCATTCTATTATCTTTCTCTCTATATATTATATATATATATATATATATATATATTTATATATATATATATATATTATATATAAAATATATATATATAGTATATATATAATTTTCATTGAATTCACACAATACAGGTTTTAACAGGAATTTAGACATTTAAAATGATACAAATATTATTGTTATTTGTTTTTTATTTACAGATTTTATCTTTTCTGTCTCTAAATCTTCTACACACACATATATATATATATATTATATATATATATATATATATAATTATTGGTTTAAAAATATGATTCCAATTGCAACATATTTACCTAATATGTTCTTTCCTATTTTCTATATATGTTAAAACACACACACACACACACACACACACATATATGTTATATATATATATATATATATATATATAGATAGATAGATAGATAGATAGATTAATATATATAGATAGATAGATAGATAGATAGATAGAAAAGATAGAAAATTGATATGTATATTAGTTAATTAAGAAATAGACAAACTTAAGTTTCAATGACTCTAATTTATTTCCCAGGAATTGAATTTTCCTGGTTCATTTATCTTATTGAACAGACAAACAATATATATATATATATATATATATATATATATATAAGAATTGAGATATAAATATATATATATATATATATATATATATATCGGATTGAAATGTTCATGAATTTTTAAAAAAATGGCTATTTTATAGTGATTTTATAATATATTTATATCATAATTTTCGAATAAATAATTATATATATATATATATATATATATATATATATATATATATATATAAATATAATATAATATAACTATACTCGTTTCGAAAAAACCTCTCGAATTTTTGATTTGCCAATAATCAAATCAATCTCGAGAGAAAAAAAGGTTTTAAAAAAAGAAAGAGCTAGAAACATGAAAGTCTGTCGAAAAAAAATCGCACAGATACAGGTTTGAAGCCCAAAGAAAAAAACCCGATACGAGTAAACAACTAACTAACAAAAGAGCTCAATACAACCGTAGAGCAGACCTAGATAAACCTAGTGAGCCAGACAAACCTACCCAGGTTTCACCTAAACGGATCGTCAGGGAAATTTGGCTATATATATATATTATATATATATATATATATATATATATATATATATATATATATATATATATATCTGGAATTAAGATAATATTAGTTGTATGAAAAAATTTGCTGTTTAATGAAAATAAACATTGAGGGATATTTTGTCAGTCAGGGAAAAAAAAATGCTTAAAAAAAGAACAGAATTTTTTGTTTTAGTTTTTTTCTAGACCCTTTGCAAATTCATGGGTGATTTTGTATATATATATATATATATATATATATATATATATATATATATATATATAGGGCTAAATTTGAGCGTGTTTATTTTTTTTAAAATAGTGAACGGCATTGTGAAAGAAAGCCACTACAGTTTTAGAGGCGCGAAATGTAACTGATATGGAATAGTGGAATACACATGAATATTGGAAAAGGTTAAAATGCATCAGGATGGTTCGGGCTTCAATAATGACAGAAGTTCAATGCTCTTTGAACACCGTGAAAACAATCAAGATGTGGAATGGAGAGCTGACAAACGAGAGACTACGAGACCGTGGCTTGTAAGAAAGAATACAGCAGACGTTCTGATTGCCTCTGTAAACCAGAATTCATCCAACAACTGCAGCATAAAAAGATTGAACACCCAGACAAGTGAATGCGGGCTTTGTCGCGGGAAATGGGTGTTGCAATATCCACCATGGAGCTAGCCTTGAATGACGACCTCCATTACCAGTCCCAGAAGAAGTGTTAAAAGTCTAGCAGAAGAGTCTCGAGAAAATCCTCTGACAACGGAAAAGAAACTCCTGAAGGTGACTGCGGCCGAGATGCCAGGTTAGGACCATTAACATTACGGATATTTCTTTGTATTTTATCAAGAATCATTATATACATGGCAGATTTTGGACACTGGAGTAAATTTGGAAAAGGGATTTTAACAGTGAATCTACAACTACAAAAACAAATTCCTAAAAGTCTTCCAACCACTGCTTACAAAAACAGAACTGGAAATGCTTAGACTGGTCTACAGGACAAAAAAAAATTAAAAATCCGAATACGCCTTATTCAACCCTCTTCGAAGAATGATAACATTCAGAACTAAATACCACTTAAAAAGGGAGGAGTAGAAGGACTTAATATATACAGTGTGTTCGAGCTAAATTTGGCAGTGTTTTATCTTTTATTTTTTGAAATTTGTTTGGAATATCTGTAAACAGTGAGAGGCATTGTAAAAGTAAGACACAACAGTTTTAGAGGTGTCAAATTTAACTGGTATGGATGAGTGAAAGCTATCTGAATATTGGAAAAAGTTTTGGATGATTCGGGCTGTAATCATGACAGAAGCTCAATGCTCTTTGAACACCGTGAAAACAATCAGATGTGGAATGGAGAGCTGACAAACGAGAGACTACGACGTTCTGATTGCCTCTGTAAACCAGAATTCATCCAACAACTGCAGCATAAAACGATTGAACACCCAGACAAGTGAATGCGGGCTTTGTCGCGGGAAATAGGTGTTGCAATTTTCACCGTGAAGCCGGCCTTGAATGAGGACCTACGCTACCAGTCAAAGAAGAGGTGTAAAAGTCAACTCTTTACAGAAAAGGCTGATAAAAACATACCCTTAAACAAGGTAAAACATCCACTTGAAACAGGGTCAATCTGATTTTTCTCTGATGAAAACACCAGCACAAAAACCACGCGAATAGATGGCTTACCTACAATCCATATGATGTTCCTCATGTCCTGAACATGGTTTTTAAGGTGTCTCCAGTGAGGTTGATGTCATGCCACCTCGTTTCTTTGAACACGGTCTCAACCTCAATTCGGATGGCTATGTGAAGTTATTGAACACGGTGGTCAAGCCTTGATTGGAAAGGGTGGATACTGGAACACCATATGTGGCATCAAATTTCAGTTCCTCGACACGCCTTCAGAAAGAATTAGAAGTATCAGAAAACTTTTACGATTTCACCAGCCACAACGTGTCAACCACTAACTCCCCTGATTGTAACCCCAGGGATCAGAATGCGTGGGGTGCAGCTGAGAAAGACACCGACCCCATTTCCCGTAACACCATGGCTCAGCTGATCAACAGAATTAAGGAGTCGTTTGAGGCTCTCTCTAAGGACATTAGGAATGCCGCATGTCCCAGATTCTGAGGTCAGGCCGAACGACCTGTACATGGTGGAAATAATATTTAGATAAATATGACAATAGATAGATAGATAGATAGATAGATAGATAGATAGATAGATAGATAGATGTGAATAGCCTGAAATAGATAGATAGATAGTTAAATGTGAATAGCCTGAGATAGATAGATAGATGTGAATAGCCTGAGATAGATAGATATATAGATAGATAGTTAGATGTAAATAGTCTGAGATAGATAGATATATAGATAGATAGTTAGATGTGAATAGCCTGAGATAGATAGATAGATAGATAGATTTGAATAGCCTAAGATAGATAGATAGATAGATAGATAGATAGATAGATAGATAGATAGATGTGTATAGCCTGAGATAGATAGATAGATAGATGTGAATAGCCTGAGATAGATAGATAGATAGATAGATAGATAGATAGATAGATAGATAGATAGATAGATAGATAGATAGATAGATGTATAGAAATGAGATAGATAGTTAGATAGATAAATAGTCTGAGATAGATAGATAGATAGATACATAGATAGAAATGAATTGATAAGATAGATAGATAGATAGATAGATAGATAGATAGATAGATAGATAGATAGATAGATACGAACTTAATGATTTCAAGAGATTCAATCGATAATGTTAGAACAAAAAGAAATCTTCAAGAATCGATTGATGACAAAAGACTGAGAAAGAAAGAGGGACAAACAGTTTTAGCTGAACGATTTCTATTGCTTTGCTTCGATTATATTGGCTGCACGAGGACGCTAGGGTCAAGGCGCAAGGCATCTCGTGTCCTTTTTTCCCCTTGAAATCTGTTCTGGACTGGAGACACGTTCAGAGGCTAATCGGGCCTAACACAAACTTGGAACGGGTCTCTTTGTTTCCTTTGGCACAGCATCCGTGTTTGGCCGGATTCAGACACTGACTCTAGTGAAAAGCGTGACGATTAACAAAGAAAATGAAAGCGAGAATACCACACGGAAAAAGAGATGAATGTGTTGGATGATAGATAGATAGATAGATGTAAATAGCTTGAGAGAGATATATAGATATATGGATAGTTAGATGTGAATTGTCTGCGACAGATAGATAGATAGATAGATAGATAGATAGATAGATGTGAATAGCTTGCGATAGATAGATAGATAGATACTCACACAGGGATAGATAGATAGATAGATAGATAGATAGATAGATAGATAGATAGATAGATAGATGAATTGATTGAGATAGATAGATAGATAAATAGATACATTGACATAGATAGATAGATAGATAGATAGATAGATAGATAGATAGATAGATGTGAATTGCCTGCGATAGATAGATAGACAGATAGATAGATAGATGTGAATAGCTTGCGATAGATAGATAGATAGATAGATAGATAGATAGATAGACCGACAGACAGATAGATGTGAATTGCCTGTGATAGATAGATAGATAGATAGATAGATAGATAGATAGATAGATAGATGTGAATAGCTTGCGATAGATAGATAGATAGACAGACAGATAGATGTGAATTGATGTGATAGATAGATAGATAGATAGATAGATAGATAGATAGATGATAGATAGATAGATAGATAGATAGAAGATATTTAAGATAGCCTGAGATAGATAGATAGATAGATAGATAGATAGATAGATAGATAGGATGAATATTTTTCAAGATAGATAGATAGATAGATAGATAGATAGATGAGATAGATAGATAGATAGATGATAGAGATAGATAGATAGATAGATAGATAGATAGATAGATAGATAGATAGATAGATAGATAGATAGATAGATAGATAGATGTAAATAACCTGAATAGATAGATACATAGCCTGAGATAGATAGATAGATAGATAGATGATTTATTTATTTATTTATTTATTTGTTGGATATTGTTTATGAATAACATGTCCTGTACAGCTAAAGTGGTGCAGAACTGCCATTTAATATTATACTCCCTCTGATTGACTTCTTTTTTTATTTTTGTTGATTTTGATATAAAGGGTCTTGAGTATTTGAAGTTTTTTTTTATTATATTCGTGCTATATTATGTTATTGTTCTCAATAAGTTTTTTTTTATATATATATATATATATATATATATATATATATATATATATATATATATATATATATATATATATATTATACATACATACATACATACATACATACATATATATATATATATATATCTTTTGTGTGTATGTGTGTGTGTGGTAACTTTAGGAACATTGGCATGTCTTAATCTGCATCTCTTTGTTTTTATGATTTTTATAATTTCTATCTTCATCTCTGACAAATCTTTAATAAAGGGAAACATGTTAGATTAAGATCTGTTTCTATTTTTTCTTTATCCTATTAATTTGTCGGATTCTTATCCATACGCACTCTCTCTCTCTCTCTCTTTCTATCTATATATATATATATATATATATATATATATATATATATATATATATTTAAATGTATATATTCAGTAAAACATGATGCATTGAATAATATAAACATATTGTCTCTACTTATTTTTATACTGATCCTTTCTATTTGTCTAATCAGTTTCGTGATGTTAAGATGAAATTCGTTAGTAGTTTTGGTTTTTTTTTTTAACCCAAGTACTTTCGATCTTTTCCAAGATAATCTTCAGGGCTAAATTACAAAGGCAAAGCTTAATGTAACTGTGCCAAAATCTGCATTCCGTTGCCATAGTGATTTTTTAAAATCACGCATGACCGAATTTTATAATAGGTATTTTAGAGTTTTTAAATTTGTCCATTGTCGTTATGGAATGTTTTTCAAAACAAGCATTTCAATATAAGGGAGCTGTCCGGCAATGGGTAAAAATGTAAAAATATTCAGTTTTGATTCTTCTTTTTGGGTGAGGCTTATAACTTTTTCAATGGCTATCATCGTTACACTTTCAGTATCCCAAAAACCATAACCAACAGCCACTGTTTGTATTGAATCCTTGATTCAAGTTCAAAATGGTGTACCTGTGTTTCCTTTTGAGTCACTAATCTGCGGTGGAAATTCTCAAGATTGGCCTGTGAGTGAGTCAGAAGTTGAAAAGATCTTTTCAGCTTCAGTTCTGGTGTCAGCATTCTTGGGAGCCATTTTAGAGACAGCTTGCTCATCCCTAAGATCTCTGTTAAAACAAGAACTAATGTCTATGGACTTGGCTATCTGCTGGACAATGAGACGTCTGCTATCTGCAGTCAGTCAGTTATGTGCCATGCGCGATACATGCTTAGGCGATCATGTATCTTTCGATACATGACTGACGAGGCAGACGTTTGATCCTTGAGAAAGAGGACCCTTGTCCTCAGCTTCCCCCCTATTCGTTTCGACTTGATTTCTTCCTTCAGTTGTCTTAAATCTGATACTTAGTACTGTCCATTAACAGTTTTTTTTTTCACTTTCCATGAATTCTATCCTGATTATTCCTTTAGAAGACAAAGAAAAAAACACAGAAGCCAACAGACGCTGCCTGTTTGAACTTCTTCGGGGATGGAGAAACACAGTGTTTCCCCTTTTTGTTTTGAATCCTTGATTCAAGTTCAAAATGGTGAACCCAGGTTTCATTTTGAGTCACTAATCGGCTGTGGAAATTCGCAAAGTTTGGTTTGGTTTGTTTTGTTTTACAACCTCAGTGGGTTATTTAATATAGACAATTTTTATTGCTGCTAATATTTTTTCCTTCAAAAATCCGTTTCATGGAATATTTTTCTTCAAAAATGTATGGCTAGTAATAATTTTTTACAAAGTATTTCTGGTATTAAAAGCTATTTTTACACTTTTATTTTTGACCCCAATTTGTGGGTTAACTATTTACCCATAGCTGGGACCCTAACAGGTGTTACCACCCAGGTAATTTTTATGAAGAATTTGGTAATCCGTATGGGTAATCCCTCCCTATACTCTACCATGTCTCTTTAACTATCCCTCTTACACTCACTGTTAAATTACAAAAACTTACACTACCCATCAATTTTAATTTCATTTTTCGTTTCATTTCATTTTTGGAAGTGCTATCTGATGATCCGGCATCATTTTAAAAGGGTTCTGGTGAAATAAATTATTATAATGGTACCTTAAAGTTTTCTGTTTTTTTCTTTATATATATATATATATATATATATATATATATATATATATATATATTATAAATTAACTGATTTAAAAATACGGTTTCATCGCTACACAGGAATTACCATGTTTAAAAACAGAAATTAAGAAATTCTAACAAGAAGATAAAATTTATTAAGAGCTACAAAGGACAGGAAATTGTGGAGAGCCATGATCACCCACGTCCAGAAGGGCTCACGGCACACAGAAGAAGAAGAAGAAGAAGAAGAAGAAGAAGTTTGCGAAAATGGATGGCGGAGTAGTGTTAGGGGAGATGGTAAAAAAAAAACATTTATTAAAAACTACAAAGGACAGGAAATTGTGGAGAGCCATGATCTCCAACGTCCAGAAAGGAGACGACACATAGCAGAACTGTATCGTCAAAAATGAAGGTTCTGGTTAAATTAACGGCAGCAAATGTTGGACGATTTCTTCAAAGATGAAGAAGAGACTCGAGGCGACGGAGATGTGGTTCTACAGAAGGATGCTGAGGATATCATGGACAGAGCGTGTGAGCAACGATGAGATCTTAGAGAGGTTGCAAACAAGAAGGAGGCTTATACTTTATATCAGGAAGAGGCAACTGAAGTTTCTGGGACATGTAACGAGGAAGGAGGGCCTGGAGAATCTGATACTCACGTGTCGAATAGAGGGAAAGAGAAACAAGGGAAAACAATGGGTGATATACCTGGCAGACTTAAGCAAGTGGATGACAGAACGTTGTCTGGGGGAGGAAGCAGAGGGAAGGAAATTGTTGAGAGATGGAAGGAATAGAGGGAGATGGAGAGCCATGATCGCCTACGTCCTGAAAGGACATGGCACATAAAAAGAAAGAATGTTCACATATATGATAGAATAGACATTATCGTGCCGATGACATAAGTTGCTATCCAAGGCTATAGAACCCGGTCTGTCCTGCTATTTACCCATAGCTGGGAGGTGGGGGGAAGAAGAGGTTTCATACCTTTCCCAAGCGTATTAGCACGTAAGTGAATGTAATGGATTCGATTGGAAAGTCAGTCAATTATGTGCTATGCGATCATGTATCTTTCGATACATGACTGACGAGGCAGATTTTTTCACGCAGTAGGTTGCCATTTCTTTCTACGGTAGACTAGTTGCTATCCAAGGCTATAGAACTCAGTCTATCCTGCTACTTACGCATAACTGAAGGGAGAAGAGGATTCATGCCTTTCCCAACGGTATTAGCACCTATGTTGGTATTTACTTGATTCCCACAAAATCAAGATGTGACACAAGGTCGTTTAACGTGGGAGACCCGAGTGTTTCCACTCAAAGGCCACTGGTCAAAATTGGTCATAGCTTGTCCAAGCTGGTCAGAGCCTAGTCAAAGCTGGTCATGACTTGTCCTAACAGGTCCAGGCCGGAGCCAGTCCAAGATAGTCAAAGCCTTGATCGAATCTCAGCCATAGGCCAAGAAACGATCCAATATTTGTCAAAAACCCCAGCCGAAAAATCGGCCGGGAGAGTTAGCACCTATGTTAATGCAATGGGTTCGACAGGAGTTCGCTATCCATTACTCAACCTCCGATATGCACCAGTCAATAAAGGATTTATAATATACGTTGTTCTATATATAATACGACAGGAATATAATTTTAAAAGCAATTATTCTGTGCCTTTATTTAAATTATATACCGTATTATACAACTGGAGAAATTCTAAACAATGAATTTATCCTTTTTAATTCCATAGATCGTGACATGACAGATATAAATATGTAAGGGGTGATGCTACATATATTTATCTTTTGACTAGGAAAGGCGTGATTAAGGAAAGCAAAGACGCTGGAGGGTATCCAATGTGGCGTGCACAATGCAATTTATATTTGACGTAAAATAGCACATAGTATAAAATACAAGACAGAACGTAATGATTCAAAACATAACCATTGAATTTATTAGTGTTGATGTGCATGTATATAAGCTGAAGGTTTGATAGAGTTATGTCTCTTAGATTTGGAAATATTAGTACCTGAGCTCATAAAGATGAAGTAATTATTAAACTGTAGTTTAAAAGAATAAAGTTCCTTTAAACATGTTAGGAAATGTGAGTTGTAAACCTTGGTTAGAGTTCAGAAGAGATTTTAGAGTTCGTACTTGCGTGAATGTTGTAATGTTCTTTAACGTCTGACCGCATGGTTAAGACGAGAGTTCTTGAAGGTTACATTTTAGCAGCAAGGAGAAAGATGAATGAGAAAACGAAGAGAGAGACTGAACAGAACACGAGGGAACTTACACGTGTTTTGTTTATATAAGGCTGGGTATCACGTGATCGGCTCAACCTTAGTGAGCGGGAAATTTCATTCCTCGCGTGCAGGATATCTGATTGGTCGGGACTGACCAATCAGCGAGCTAGTTTTGAGGAGATCAACTAATGAATGCTTGTTGCATGATTTCTATGTACTGTGTGTATGTAATGGTTGTAGTAGTTACCACAAATACACAACATAACGAATATATTGTGTTGAATGTGGAGATTTGCGGTGTATTTTCCGTTGACACTAAGAGTAAATTTAGATTAGATTATCTGGCTTATCTATTTGCGACCCGGCAATATCACTAATTCGCAAATGCTGAAATGCGAGTTAACCAAGGTTAATCTGCACTGAATATGTAGATCGCAAATGGCATCGATTAGGAAGAATTTTATTTGTCCTGTATTTTGGCTGTCGTCTCGTTGTAAATCTTGTTTATTAGGGGGTCGTGATCTATTGCGAAAGTCTCTGCGCTAATGAGCTAGGGATTTAGCTGGGAAAGAAAAACCTGTGTGGAATGAAGAAATAGGTCATGGAAAAAGAGGGAGAACGAATGAAAAACATTAGTGAAAAAAATGAAGAAGAACGAAGAAGAAGAAAAGAATTAAAATAAATGAAAGAAAGGAAGACTTAAAATAAATAGAAGACGAAGAAAAGTAAAAGAAAGAAAGAAAGAAAGAATAAATGAATGAAAAATGAAAGAAAGGAAGAAAAAGATGAAGACGAAGAAGAAAAGTAAAAGAAAGAAAAAATAAATGATTGAATGAAAAAAATTAACAAGAAGTTAAAATGAATGAAAAAATGAAAAAGAAAAAGAAAAGAAAGAATAAATGAATGAATGAAAAAATGAAAGAAAGAGAATAAGAAGAAGATCCAAGAATAAATGAATGAAAAAATTAAGAAGATGAATAAAAGTAAAAGAAAGAAAGAATAAATGAATGAATGAAAAAAGAAAGAGAAAAAATAAAAGAAAGAAAGCATAAATAAATGAATATAAAAATGAAAGAAAGAGAAGAGGAAGATGAAGAAAAGTAAAAGAAAGAATAAACGAATGAAATAATGAAAGAAAGTGGAGAAGAAAGTAAAAGAATATATGAATGAATGAAAAAATAAATGAAAGAGAAAAAGAAAAAGATGAAGGAAAGTAAAAGAAAGAATGAATGAATGAATGAAAAAAATGAAAGAAGAAGAAGAAGAAAAATTAAAATAAAAAAGAATAAATGAATGGAAAAATGAAAGAAAGCGAAAAGAAGAAAAGTAAAAGAAAGAATATATGATTGAATGAAAAAAATGAAAGAAGAAGAAGAAAAAGAAGAAGAAAAGGTATGTAAGAGGCAGTGAATGTTTTGAATGAGAGAAGGAAAGGGTGAGGAATTAGAGAAAGAGAAAGTGAAGAAGGAGAACGATAGAGAGATTACGAGAGAGAGAAAATGAGAATCATTAAGAAAGAGAAAGATTGAGAATGCGAAGAAGAAGAAGAAGAAGAAGAAGAAGAAGGGGGAGGAGAGGGAGGAGGAGGAGAAGAAGGAGGAGGAGGGGATGAGGAGGAGGGGATGAGGAGGAGGAGGAGAAGAAGAAGAAGGAGGAGGAGGATGAAGAAGAAGAAGAAGAAGAAGAAGAAGAAGAAGAAGAAGAAAGAAAAGTGGGAAGAATGGAAACGGAAAGAATGAAAACGAAAAGAAAAGAAACGAAAAGAAAAAGAAAGAAAGAAAGAAAGAAAGAAAGAAAGAAAAGGAAAAAAGAAAATAAAAAGAGAAAGAAGAATAAAAAGAAATCTGAATGCGGATTCACAAAATCGGAAAACAAGAAAAGATTGAAGGAAAGAAAAGAAAAAAGATTGAAGGAAATAAGGAAAAAGGAAAGAAAGAAAGAAAGAAAAAGAAACACTGGCACTTTTAAAAGAAAGAAAGAAAGATTGAGACAAAATGTTTTCTGTTTTTCTTCTTTTCTGATTGCTTTTTTTCTACGGTCAGTAAGTACAATGAGCAAATCTCGCGAGATCGGAATAAATCTCGCGAGACATAAAGAAATCTCGCGAGACCTATAATCCAATCAAATCCTTTTCTTGAGTGTGTCAGTGTTCTTAAAATCCATCAAACAAATTGTTCCTTGGAAGTTGATTGACACTTCAAGAATTCATTCTTCCAACTGACCTTCCTTTTTCGATTCGTATTCAATGGTTGCTTTTTTTTTCTTCCGTTCACTATTTTCTTGTGTTTTCTTTTTCTTTCATTGCCTCGTTTTGAAATCAGCGTTTCTTTTTTATGACCGCTTATTATCTTTCCTTTTATTTTATTCGGTTAGTTATATTATTATTATTATTATTATTATTATTCGTTAGGAATAAATACAATATCCAGATTGATAGTACTTCTCGGATCTCTAGCACCCACCCGCACATCAGCAGAACCTTCCCCAGTACCAATTTCTCGGAGAATTATCATTCAATTGATAGCACTTTACTTAGTATACGAGATGTTCCTAGTAGCAAGCAAACTTGTATGTTGATGTTACCTGGGAGACTTTTAGTAAAATTTTCCATTCTTTTTCTCACGAAGCCCAGTGCTCCGATTACTATTTGTACATTCTCAGTCTACATTCCCCACATCCTGTTAATCTCGATCTCCAGGTCATTGGATTTGGACAATTTTACGATAATTTTTATTGAGTTGTTTATTTCAGATGGTACTGCTTATGTCAATAAACATACACTTCCTGAATTTCTTGTCTTTTATGATAATATCAGGTCTGTTGGCATTTGTTTCCCTTTCAGTTTGAATTGGCATGTCCCAGAGGATAGTTACATTGTTATTTTGGGTAACTGAGTCTGGTTGGTGCACATACCAACACTCAGTGGTTTCGATTTTGTGCTTCTTGCATATATTCCAATGCACATATGTCATTACCTTGTTATGTCTCTGGGTATGTTCATTTTATTATTATTATTATTATTATTATTATATTATTATTATTATTTTGATTGTCGCTGTTTATCAACTTCAAATCTTTAACTTTTTTCTCTATCCCCTTTTTTGTAATCATATCACCCCACGCACGACAGTAAAGCCACTATGGCAGAAGGGGTTAACGAGTGCGAAAGAATAAGCAAACAGAGAAACACTATCAAGGAGCGAGAAAAATAAAAGTGTCGCCAAGAAGGCAGTAGATAACGAATGACATTGGATTTTGGATTTAAATTTTTGAAAATCAAAGTTGGCTGGAAAGTATGGAGCCGGAAGAGAGTAACACAAGCGAGAGGTGCGTGAAAAGAAATTGCTAGCATAGAACATACGGTTACATCTAGCCAACTCAACTGTGAATTGATGAGACCTAGCTGCCAATCTAGTACTGCGCTTAAATTCATAAGTCTAGATACCATAGTGAAGAGTGATATTTATTTGTAATTATTTACAAAATGTGGCACAAGGCCAAAATGGAGACTAGGGAAAAGGACAGTCTTCTTCTGTCTTAACATTAAATTTAGCTAGCCACAAACACTGACCAAAACATACAAACAATATTCCTAACACCAAAACAACGCATTCTTACATACCTTTCTTACTACATTCACCATAATACCTCATTGTCTCTATAAAAGTCCTAACTAGTCCCCATATTTACAATTCTTTGTCTTTGAGGGAGGGGAATAAAACAACAATTTAAAAACTAGTCCCAATGAGCATTTACAATATGAAAACAAAACTATTTGTGCCATAGCTAAGAGTCCACGTGAACAATTGCCATGAAAGTATTTATAGAAGAGTCAAAGGCTTGCAACTTTACGCCGGGGGGGAAAGTGACAGTAGAAAACTTAAGTAGCCACAAACACTGACCCAAACATAACACAATATTCCTAACACCAAAACAACGCAATTTAACTTACCTTTCTTACTACATCCACCATAATGCCTCATTGTCTCTATGAAAATCCTAACTATCCCTCTTATATACAATTCATTGCCTGTGGGGGTGGGGGATAAAAAACAATATAAAAACGAGCCCCATTGAATATTTACAATATGAAAACAAAACTATGTGTACGATAGCGAAGAGTTCATCTGAACAATTGCAATGAAAATATTTATAAAGTACAGGGAGGCAACTTTACCAGAAGCCGAGATGACAGGTCAACATCAATAATATTGCAGATTCTTCTTCGGACTTTATCAAGGGTCTCTAAATATACATCTGGAGCACCAGACAATACGTGACGGAAATATTCAAAGCAAGGAAGGACACACATATGATTGCAAATAGACTTACAGGGAGAGGAGAGAAAGACGTACAGGCAGAACAGAAAAGACAGGAATCCAGACACACACACACCGACAAACACACAGACAATATACAGGATGAAAGAATAGATATAGAGAAAGAGAGACGGACACACGATTACACAGACACACGTACATCAGAAAGAAACACATATACAGAAAATGTAACAGACTGAGAGACACACAAATAGCGAGAAAGAAAAACACACGTAGACACAGACACACAAAGGGAGATTTACACACATACCCTTAGATACGACATATATATATATATATATATATATATATATATATATACACACACAGACACAAGTAAGATAAGACTCCGGAGGTGTTGAAACAAAATGGCTATTTTTGTAGTGATTTTATAACATATTTATGCTATAATTTTTCAATAAATCAATATATATATATATATATATATATATATATATATATATATATATGGCTTTTAATTGCATTCGGTTTTGATGCGTATCAAGACATCTCATCAGGCGAATTTATAATTCACTAATGAGAAGCATTGATACGCATCGAAACACAACTTCAATTGTGTAGCGATTTTGACATATTTTCTGCCTTATATCCTAAAAATAAATAATATTGCTCTACTCTGTATTAAATATTACGAACGTTTAAATTTACTCTATTCGTTCTCATCTTACCTGGACATACACACACACACACACACACACACACACATATATATATATATATATATATATATATATATATATATATATATAATAAAAAAGGCTTAAACACTAATATTCCATGGTCATAATTTATTCCATTGGAATCGTAAATACGATCCAATTCATCAGACCTACAAATTCAAAAAGAAAACACAAAAAACAACTCCGGAAATAAAAACAGAATTTAGAGAGAGTGTAAGTATGAGGGGTAACAGACTAGAGAAGTGGGGAGATTAAACCTTAACAGAGAGAATTTTAGGAGAGGTGAGTGGAATATATATATATAAAAACATACAAGCAGGTTTGGCTAAATAATTTAGGCTTGTTATCTTTTTTTATTTTAGTTTTAATACTTTCAAGACCCCGAATTAATTTTTTGGAGGCTGTAGAACATTGACGAGAAGACTTACGTTTCACTTGAACGAGCATAGTTCAATCTCAAAACATTTAAAGAAACACCCATCCCCATATTCACAGTTTAGGCATATATTAATCGAAAATACATCAGTGCTTCATCAAAATAATAATAAGTAAAAACTTAAAATTCTGGAAGCCCTTTGTATAAGAGAATTGCGGCCCAAAATAAAGTCCAACTATAGTAACAAAATTCTTAGAATTTAGAGTTGGAAATATGTAAAATAGGTTCAGGAGAGAAAAAAAATGATCTATCAGAACACAGTGAACTAATCTTCCTAGCAGCTGATCTACCAAATGATTCAATATAATCTTTCCACTTCATGTCAGCCGAAAACGTTATTCCGGGGAGCAACGAATTATTCTCTTGAGGTCAACACGCTGACTGCCAACCACGAGATAACTCGTATTTGGCAGTTTTTTTTTTGTTATTTTGACGCCAAACATGAGTTATTTCTTTTTGTGTTCTTGCTATCAAAATTTACAACCGCACATTTTTTATGTGTTTAACTCAAATAACAGGTATCTGGCGTCTAAGACTGGAATTAAAAATCGTGCTGGCAGCTAAAAAGCAAACGTTTTATTGGAAAAAAAATTCTTGAAACGAAGCATTTGGAAAAAAACAATTATTGCTTAAGTCTGCTATTATAAAGTCGGCCTTTGATGTCAGATTTCGTAATTGACCTCTGGCAATCAATGTGTCAGAAGCATACGCCAGGCAGACGATATTGTGTTGATAGAAATTAAAAAAAGAAAACACAAATGACTATTAGACAAGGTGATCGAGGAAAGAAAGAAGAAAGGATTAATTTATCTTAGGTATAGCATAACTGGCCACTCATATTCAACGATACCCGTCTACTAGGGCGGCTAGCAAATCCCTATTGTAGAAGCTTGCTCAGGCACATTTGTGTTTATTCAACACCCACAGAGCCCACCTGTAGTTTATACTGTAACTATGCCGAGCAGACCTTAGTTACAGTTTCTGGGAGAGAGCGTGTTGTCTAGCGTGATAAACAATTTGAACAAGGCCAGCACACTAAAACCCTCGATGACTTTTGACTATACAATTTTATTCGCAAGGCTGAGGTCAACCGGTGACATGGTTTTCAGGGAATTTACAAATGTGTCGCACGCTGGTATCTACCCCTCCAGTCCTGACAAATCGACTGTTACAGTTTTTTGGATATATCTATGTACTAGTGAGCTAGCCGAAATGAATTGACTCATTTTATAGTCCACCAAGAGAAGAGTTAACCAATCAGAAAGCTCAAAATATTCAATCCGACGTGTATAAAGGCAGCCATTTTGTTTTTTCTCCCAAAATATCCCCAGTGCCAAACTGATATCGAAGACTTAAAGAATTAACAGCCGCTACTTTCTCCGAATCTA